AAGAGGAATGACAAAAGGATGGATGTTAAAGTTAATAACACTTCTGTTAGAATTAGAAACAAGGCATTAAAGTATATAACACATAGCAGTAAGTATGCCATAAACAAAAGCTAATATTTTTGCTCCCTCCTCACTAGCTCTTTGGCTTCTTTCACACTGACCTCTAGCTCCCAGTGTGTCCCAGTTGAATCACCTCTTCTATGATTTCTGCTCATGATCCAACCTGGACTCCACAGTTCACTCCAGTCACAGCCTTTTAACATCATTAATTCGCTCAGCCAACTGCCCTTCTGGTATCTCTACCAAGCAGGCATCTGCACAAAGCTGTGCGTAACTGCATGGGCTCTCGAACTGAATCACCAGGGTTTGAACCCCAGTTGTCATCTTACAATCAAGGAGAATAACAGAACCTACCTTTAGAGCTCTTGTGAGTTTCTTCAGTTATACCCAGAGTGATCAGTGCTGGAGAAAAATCAAACCATACAAACTGGAATCCCTACAAATCTCAGGTCTAGAACCTCAGATGGGTCCTCTGTGCTGCCTAACAATTCTTTTTCATTATCCTAGTCATGTGTCTATTTCTGTCCCATTCCCTTGAAAGCTATTATATATTGACATGCTCTTTTTTTAAGAACCCCTATTTTATCATGCTCCCCCTCATTCTAAGCAGGTACTCAAAAATGTTAGAAGACACATCAACTCATTCTCCCTCCTGTCCCCATCATTTAGAAACTTATTTACACTGCCTCCAATTTCATCTCTTTTCTTCATGCTCAATGAAAAAGGAAAATCAAGGCCAACTTCTCTACCTATGCTTTGGATCCCATCCCTTACTATTGCTTCCCAATTCCTGGCACCATCAATCACCTCTGCCCCCCATCTCTCTCCTCCCGCCACCCCCCCCCACTTCAATTTCTCCTCTCCACTGGTTCATTACAAGCCCAAATAAAAACACCCCAAATCCTCCTATTTTAAAAAGGGGGGAGAGACAGTAAACTTTTCTAAAATCCCCTGTATCTCCTGCACCTATACTATTTGTTCAGTCCTTTGTTGAAAATACTGTATCTCTTACAATTAGCTACATTTCTAGTTGTCATTGGCTCTTCAACCCCCTCACCCAGAAAGCATTACAATGTAGCTACCTGCTCCAACTGAAGTAACAAATAACTTAATCATCAGGTCTCTGGGCTTTTCTTCCCATTTTTATCTTACTTGGCCTTTGCATGGCGAGATACAGTATTCTCCACTCCTAGTCCTTGAAATACTCTTCTCCCTCAGCTTCCATGATAAATCTCTCATAGTTTCCTTTTTCAACTTTGGTCTATCTGGCACAGATGGTTGGCTTATCTTAGTTGTCTGCCCCATTCAGTAGCTCACACAGAAACGTGGGAATCATGTTAAACGGTCAGTCTTGCTCAACTCTATAATCTGATTATTTACTCTATCCTGTTGATAATACTTCCTAAACCTCTTACACATCCACCCCTCTTCTCTCTCTCTCATCATTTCTCACCAGGAATGGCTTCCTAACTGGTTCTGCTTCTAGTTTTGCCCTTCTCTAATCCAGCCTTCACCTCACTGCCCAGAACACAAATGTGATTCTTCATAGCATAATTCCCTGACTCCCCCCGCCCCACTAAATCCTCACAGCCTTCAGAATAAAATTAAAGCCCCTTAGCTTGGTTCATAAGGCATTCCGTGATTTGACTTAACACTTCTTTCATCCCCTATTCTAAACCCTGTTGTCCACATGTGCCTATTGAATACTTTAACAAGGCTAGACCCAACTGAGATATGGTGTAAGTGTAAAATACATATCAGATTCTGAAAACTTAGTTTGAAAAAGAGAAATGTCGAGTATCTCAATAATACTTTTTATATTGATTACAGATTGAAATATTTTAGATATATAAAATTAAATAAAATATATTATTAAGATTAATTTCACCTTTTACTTTTTAACCGGGTTAATAGAAAATTTTAAAATACGTATATGAATTACATTTGTGACTTACATTATTATATTTTTACAGAACAGCACTGGTCTAGAATGTCCTTTCTCTTTTTCTGAACCTACTTAACCCCGGTCTATTTCTGAAGATTAGCTGAGGTAACTCACTAAGATGCATTTCAGGATACTCCCCTCCTAAGACTCCCAAGTACCTGTCCTCCTCTGTGCTTCTATCCACAGGAATTCACTTACACCTGTTATATATCACTCCACATTATAATTATTGGTTATCAGCTATCTTCTTCTGCTAAACTATATGCTCCTTGCAAAAAGGCATATCATTCTACATATACTCAGGGATTTCCACCATGCCTACCACTTAAAAGGCACTCAAAATATTTGCTGAACAAATGTAAACTATCTATTCCTGGTCTGAAAGTTACTAGAATTTCTCCAAGGAAAACAAATCAGCAAAGAAGGAACCTAGATTTTTTCCAAGAGCTCCAGTAATGGAAGGATCAGAATGATGCTAGGAAGCAGGAATTACAGTAAAGAGAACAATAATAAGAAAATAAGGCTGATCATATACACCTCTTACAGTGAAAACAGGAATTTGCAGCAGTGATATGGAGCCTTGAACTCAACTTGGCATGCCAGGGGCCACAGTTTGGTTCCTAAATTACTCAAATAACCCATCCAACAAAAGAGTATGATTTGGCAGGTTTCAACACAAACAGCTAGAGCCCAGCACCTGTTCCACTTAAACAGAACATCATTACAGTTAAAAACAACAACAAATCTCTCTCATGAAGCAAATGCTAATCTCATGATGCTTCACCATGGAGCAATTTAGAAGAGTTATTATATGAAATGTGCCAAAGCATGAATTTATGGCTGATGCTTATTTGGCAAATATGGTTGGCACTGCTAGATGTTGAAAAACATGTATGCAAATAAGCAAATAAAAGTTTTTAAGCTCTCAGACTTAAATATTTACATTATCATAAATGTACAAAGATAAATGTTTATATGAGAACACATATAACACATCCCAGGAACATATTTTTAAACGTGATTGTCAGGAACAGTTATGAAGTGGCATTATTTCTTTATGAGCCTCATGGTAGACTCTTAAAAATAAATTTTGACTGAATGTTAATGGGGTACAAAAATTATGGAGGAGGTTTCTCTGTACTATCACTGGGTAAAGTGAATAGTCACAGCATCATAATAGTTCAAAGCAATCTTATCTTTTCCTTTCACCAAAATACTTTTCTTCCCATCCTGGAGCACAGCCAAACATAAATGTCAAACCCTAAATGGAGGGTCAGAGGTGAAGAAGAGGACCACACATCAAAAAGGCTTAAAGAAAATACTTTGACATTTTTCCCACATTAATATAGTCATGTTAGAGTCTCCAAAAATAAAGACATGATAAAATATTTCCCCCCTCTTCCCCTCTGACAGTTATGGAAAGATGTTTGTTTTTTCACATAGTTTGTGAGTTGGTCATAGCCAAAACACATAGTAATCGTATGAATTCTGTTTCCATTGTTAACTGTTCATCTCTGGGCAGAGGCTACAACTCCCATCTCTGAAGCCAAGAAAATGTACCATACATGCCATTATAGTTTACTAAACGAGTCACCAAAGAGAAGCAGGCACTTCAGAAAGTAATTAAGGTAGTCAGTGAACTGAGCTATCTAGAAGTGCTCTGAGATTACAGGAGAAGCCATCATGAAGCAAGTATTCAAGATTGCTCATAGAAAGTTTTACCCCTGTGGGTAATTCACGGTTTTCACTTCTACACTGCAGAGAGCAATATAGGTTCTCCAACTATACACATTTCCACATCATTCCATTTATCAAGAAAAAAAAGAAAAGACGTTGTGGCTGAACAAAAGTCAAGAGGTAGGCCTAACAGAATCCTCGAGGCAATCCCAATTCAGGTGAAGAGCTGATGACATACACCATACAATGACCTAAAATCAGACTTTCATATATAATCTTACCATATTTAACAGACACAGAAGAAAAATGTATTGAGTATTCTATAACAAGGTCAATAGAAATGAAATCATAGTTTTCCTTTAGCTCCTCTCTATCCCCTCAACACCAGCCTTCCAGTAACTCCATTCCATAGCTCTCCGATTCCCAAACGGAGATCTTAAAAACACAAACGGACTGCAAAAAAGTAACATTTAATGGTGGGAGGGCTCCTCTTTCCTGTTGCTCTCAGCAGTCTTTCATGCAATCAAGGGACCAAAAAAAAAAAAAAAAAAAAAGAGAAATCAAGCTCTCAGACGGATGGTGCAGGCGACTGGGAGAGGGTAGAAAAGGGGCTCAGACGGCAAGTCCTCATCGCGGGAGGAAAGAGAAGTTGCAAGAAAGAGCGAATCAAAGGGCAAAGGCGATACAAGATTGACCTCACGAACCACTCAAAACCCCCAAATAACCAAGCAAACCCGCACGTTAGAGGGGTTCACAAGCCGCAGAGCGAAGTGAGCAGGCAAAGAGCCACCGGGTTTCGCCCTAGAGCTGTTGGCCAGGCTGCGCCGGATCCTCGGGTTTGGAGGTGGATGGGGATGTCCGTGCAGACTTCGCAGGAACGAGAGGCGTCCTTCCTGCCCTAGCCTCACCGCGTCCACCTCCCTCCAGGCTTCACTTTCGCCAGCAGCCTTCCAGCTGCGCCCGGGGGCGTCCCCGCCGCCAGGTCCCAACTTTCCCTCCTCTGGGGGGCGCCGAGCCACCGGGGCCTCCGCTACCGCAGCCACCGAGGGAGGGGGCGGGAGCGGGGGCGGCAGGGGGCGCGAGGCGCCGGCGGGCCCCGAGGACGGCGGGGCGCTGGGGTGGCCGTGGCCGGAGAGCCCAAGCCCGGCCAGAGGCACAAGCCGCCTAAGCCCCCGCGGCGGCGCCACCCAGACCCTGCGCCGCCCCGCCCGGATTCCCCCAGGTCATCCCCCTTACCCGTCGGCGACCCTAGTCCCACAAGCCGGCGCGAGAGGACAGAAGGGATCGAAGGGGACGCGGACAACCCTGCTCCCGTTACCTGAGGGGCTCACACGCCGCCGCGGTGACCACCTTCGCCGACCGTCCCGTACCCTTCCTGGTGACCGCCGGCGCCGCCGCCGAGCAACTGACACTGACTAACAACAACTAACTAACTACTCGCCGCCGCCGAGTCCACCGCGCGCTCCCGGCCGCCCGCCGCCCGCCCGGCCCACCAGCCAGCCCGCCTCCTCCTAGCCTCGCGCGCCGCCTCTCCGGGCGCGCACTCGCCACCGCGCTCCTTGAGCGAACACGCGCGCGCGCGCACACGGGCCCTCTCCCAGTCCCTCAGCCCCGCGGGAGGAGTCACCGTGAAGCCCCACCTCTCGCGTTCCTACCTCCCGGGAAAGAGAACTAGAGCGCGCCTGATTGGCCGAGGGGGCGTGGCCAAAGGAAGAGGGAGGGACACCCAGGACCTTCGGCTGGCGTGAAGGGAAATTTCAGTTGTTACGTTTAAGCGGAAAAGGGGAACGAAGTATTGGCTCATTTGGTGCCTCAGCCCCCTAGGTCAGCCTACCGTCAATACAGAATATGTGTCTTCAAAGACTCCAGCACATAGTAATCACCACTTTAAGCCCACTATTTCTGCAGGCCTTAATTTTAAAAACTACATCTCCCAGAAACCTCCGCGAAAATAAGTCTCACTTACGTAATCACGTAGTCCTTCGCCTCCTTTGAACAAAATAGTCCCTTCATTTTTCTGAAGGTATGGGGAATAATATTTCATTTTTCTCCTCACTGGAAAACTTTTAAGTGCAGCGATTAAAGAAGTTACCTATGGAAGGAAGTTAAGCAATTAGGTAAAGGGAAAGAAAAGACATCAATAGAAAGTACTGCGGAGGAATTTTTGTCAGGCTGTGAGACGACGGAGTGAGAAGAGTGAAGGCGGTTGAGAGGGGCTCAGGGAATTGTCCTGTGTGCCAGGGACTTTCTTTAGGCCTCGGGCCCCTGTCTACCCCTATCGTCAGCAGGTCAGTAAGCAAGGCGAGCTTGGGGGTGGTCACAGTGGAGGTACCCATCACCCCTTGAAGATCATCCCTTTTGCTGTTACTGGTTTGCCTCAGTTTGAGGCCGACTGAATGGGGGCGCCTCACTTCCGGTTGGGGGAGGGGAGGAAGGCCATTCTGGGGGAGGGGGGAACACAACTCACTTCCTGTGGGGGTAGGGTGATAGGTTGGGGTGTCCAACCCATTTCCCGTGCTGGCGAGGGCTTGAAAAGGTGATGCTTGGTGCCATATGCATAGACGGTATCTTAAAGCTTTGGGATTGTGTCTTATGTGAAAAAAATTAGGTTATTCCACGAAGTTGTGCTGATCAGAACAGTCAGAATTTATGTGAGTTTTGATTCCATGTGTAAGGTGAAAATTTTCTCCCCAATAGAATTTTCTTAATGTATTCTTCAAAGAATTCGAAACCTCCTGTTAAAATTTTCTACCCATCTGTGCAAGATGACATACTTTCTGGTGTGACTCATGAATTGCCCACCCTGCTCCCCGACTCAAGTCCAACGTTGACTTAGAGTGGTATAGCGGTATTCTTTGCCTTGACGTGCCACAGGAGCTCTATAGCTGTTCTTAAAGAGGTTGTTTATTACAGGACTCAATATTTTACGTAAACTATGAAGCATTTTCACCTTACGAAAATGAAAATATACCCAATTAACAGGTGTTACCTTAACTGATGTGATTGGTGTCTTAAATCCTTAGACCTGTTAATTTTAGGGTACAGCTTAGGCCCTGTGCCTGAAAACAACTTACTCAGCTTTAAAAATCGATTTATTTAAATTACAAAGGGGGGAAATGTACTACAGTGCGACTTTCACAGATGTTACGTGTAAGTTACATATAAGAATTTTTAAAGCTGAGGAAGTTGTTTTCAGGCAGAGGACAGAACCTGTAAGAGAGGTGGGTCCCATCCCTGAGTCAGGAAGATCCCCTGGAGTAGGAAATGGCAACCCACTCCAGTATTCTTGCCCAGGAAATCCCGTGGACAGAGAAGTCTGGGCAGGTCAGAGCCCATGGGGTTCCAGAGAGCCCAACACACCTGAGCGATTGAGCATGCACATGCATGCACACGCACCCAGCACCGATTTAAAAATGGTGTCTACACTTTGTGCTTTTAAGGCATGGTGCAGGAATCCTGAAATTCATCTCAGATTTTAAGTAGGGGGAGAAGTTTGGCTCATAAAGGACAAAAAGTATGTACCAGAACGTTCTATTTTCCTATATTCTCAATGTTTTGTAAGAAACTACTTGTAAAGTAATAAACACTTAACAGTTGTTTGGTTTCTTGGCTTGTTTTCAAGTACCACAATACTTAGTAGGTGGTGAGGGTACTGAAAGGATCAATCTATTTGGTGATTATGAAATCTCAACGGCTTTAGTAATTTTAGAATATCTATCAAGTGAACTGTATGTCTTTCAAGAATATTTAAAAGAATAAGGCTTTTGCATTTTTTTCCATTAGGGTTCTCACCTAATCTACCCTCAGAATTTGCAATTGTTTTAATTCTAGTTCTTTTCAAAAGCTAGTTTGTTTAGAGTTTATTAGAAAATCTGGTTTACACTAAAATGTTTAAACAACTGTAAAACTTAAATGTCACAATAAGGAAAAAGATATGTTTTGACCTTTTATAGACATAAAGACAAAAAAGTTAAGACCCAAAAATCAGTGAGTTATCTTTTCAAGGACTACAGAGTTTCTGCAAAAGCTGAAAAGACAGGACACATTTATGTCTGTGTTACTATTAATAAAAGGTTAGGAACATGTAGACTGCCTCAAGCAAGTATTAATTAATTGATTAGAAAAACATGTTCATTATCTTCTGTTAGTGTACTATAGAAGAAAATATTATATGAGCCTCCTGACAAATTAAACTATTAAACTACAGCATTCAGAAATATTGAAGTGAGTAAAGCTTGTGGAATTAGATGAAATAGAGAAAAGGTAAGTTAAAATATTGATTGAAATACAGTAGTAGTGCCTTTAGGAAACTATCTTTGGAAAGCAAAGGAGTTTTTAAAATTGGTCTTTATACCATTCCATGGAAGAAATGCTGTATAATAGAAATAAGAAAAATTGTTGCAGCTGAGAGACTTGGGCAACTTGAAGAATTGTCTGTTCAGAAGAAAGCAATTTATAAAGCACATATCTGAAAGAAGATGTTTTGTGATAAGTGGCAGTATTCACTGGTTCCATCAAAGGAGAAATATTAGAAAACCTTGTGAAAAATAGAGGGAAGTTCATGGAACCTGCTTTTATTCTCTTTAAAAGTGTTTTTGTAGCAGCTTGCTGTCTTCCAGACTTTTTTTTTCTTCTTACAGCTCTTTGTTGCAGTTTTCTTTTCATGTTCTAATAGAAACATATTATCAAAATTAGAAAAATAAAGACTTTTGTAAGTGTACTCTGTTGCTTCTTTAAGTAAATGAATTTCATTCCATTACTTGCCATCAAGAAAAAAGAAATTGTCCATTTTTTCATAATATTTAGATTAGATAACCATTTTCTTTTCCAAAAAGCCATCATTAGGTATACTGCTTATAGCAGTTTGAAATGAAACAGTAGGTCAGAATTCTGGATTCTCTCTCACTGAAGTTTGATTATCCAGGAAGTGCTAGATGCTATCTCTAATGCAAAAGGATCTTTTCATTCTTTTGTCTACGTTTGTTAAATCATGCTCTTGTTGTACAACTATTGCTGTTTTGTATATTTGTTGTTTTGATAGTTGCTTATTTTTGCCATTGAGTTGAAAGGGAATATGCTAACAACATGAATGGTTCTTAGACCTGCTGTACTGCTGTCATCTCAGGGCCATCAAGAGTATTCAAATAAGAATACCCTTTACATGACCTTTCATTATTTCAGGAAAAGTTTATTGAGTGCTTACTATGTAATAGTCTCTGTTTTAGGAACTTGAAATACATCAGTGAATACAGACAAATATCCATATTCTCTTGGAGTACCAGTTCAGTTCAGTTGCTCAGTCATGTCCGACTTTTTGCAACCCCATGAACCACAGCATGCCAGGCCTCCCTGTCCATCACCAACTCCCGGAGTCCACCCAAACCCATGTCCATTGAGTCGGTCATCCCCTTCTCCTCCTGCCCTCAATCTTTCCCAGCATCAGGGTCTTTTCCAGTGAGTCAGCTCTTCGAATCAGGTGGCCAAAGTATTGGAGTTTCAGCATCAGTCCTTCCAATGAACATTCAGGACGGATCTCCTTTAGGATGAACTAGTTGGATCTCCTTGCAGTCCAAGGGACTCAAGAGTCTTCTCCAACACCACAGTTCAAAAGCATCAATTCTTCGGCACTCAGCCTTCTTTATAGTCCAACTCTCACACCCATACGTGACCACTGGAAAAACCATAGCCTTTACTAGATGGACCTTTGTTGACAAAATAATGTCCCTGCTTTTTAATATGCTGTCTAGGTTGGTCATAACTTTCCTCCCAGGGAGTAAGTGTCTTTTAGTTTCATGGCTGCAGTCACCATCTGCAGTGATTTTAGAGCCCAGAAAAAGTCAGCCACTGTTTCCACTGTTTCCCCATCTATTTGCCATGAAGTGATGGGACCAGATGCCATGATCTTAGTTTTCTGAATGTTGAGCTTTAAGCCAACTTTTTCACTCTCCTCTTTCATTTTCATCAAGAGGCTCTTTAGTTCTTCTTCACTTTCTTCCATAAGGGTGGTGTCATCTGCATATCAGGTTATTGATATTTCTCCCAGCAATCTTGATTCCAGCTTGTGCTTCCTTCAGCCCAGCATTTCTCATGATGTACTCTGCATATAAGTTAAATAAGCAGGGTGACAGTATTACAGCCTTAACATATTTCTTTTCCTGTTTGGAACCAGTCTGTTGTTCCATGTCCAGTTCTAACTGTTGCTTCCTGACCTGCATACAGGTTTCTCAAGAGGCAGGTATACTCCAAATCAAAACTGGAATTTTGCTCCCTTGATATTCCTAAATAAGCTCTGTAGTGTGATCATTTTTCAAACTGAATCAAGAAACAGCCCTAAACTTGATCTCTTCTGGTCTTGATCTCTAAGCATTCTAAACCCAGTTTTTAATATTTCAGTCGAATTTTTCCCCAGACCATTAAAGTCCCTGTGTTAAATATTCAGCCCTTTTCATCCAT